TATATGTTGTGATGTGGATGAGAATCTGTGGCCCAACAGACAGGACCGACATGACGCATAGGAAAACTGCCATGTAATCTCACCTTTACCTTCTGTTGTACATGTATAGTTCTTCCCACTTTGTCTTTTTTACAGTATGTTTCCATTGCTAGGTAAATAGACTATGTATAGTTTCCTTTGTTGTCTGTATGTAAGTACCACTATTGACAGTACAGTAGAAATGTGAGTACAGTCTGATCTTTTGTTTCGATTCTTCCATATACTGTAACGTGGGGCGATGGTGATTGGTTAGATGAGGTTAGATGGAATCATTCAGAAAATTATCTATTCTTACCATGTAAATTACTGTAACACCTGGTTGATGCACAATGGTTTGCAAGAATCACTTCTTTTTTTTACCGGAGGGACACTGTAAATTATGACACACACCAGTACGGTAATTTAGTGGTTTCTAGTCATCAAAACCTGAGTTGAGTATAGTTTACAGTAAATAACAAAAACTGAGTATGATGTTCTACTGACAACATGACTAATAATTTTGCCTGTCACGTTCACATTGTTGAGGAAATGACATGGGATTCTGCTGCCTCTGACACAATGATTGATGAATACACACTTTTGCACGATAGACAAAGCATTTTGAGCAGGTGACACACTTTTTCCGGTTATCCACTATGTTGTGGAGTTTGTACGTGTTGTTTTGAGAAATGCACTTGGAGATCTGCAAACTTCAATTCTGTTGTAAGAAATGAATGAAAGCGATAGAGAAAAACTGTAAATAGGTCACAATTTAAATATTGCATCATCTTTATTGATTTTTAAATGCTCAAAAAAATGTTTGTCTCTCTTTTTTTGCACTGGATTATCAAAATTAATGTGGACTAAATCTCTCTCTCTTACTTTTTTGTAATCCTTTTATATATCTCTGTTGGAGGGGTTGTGGGATATTGCCCATCCAGTCTACATGTGCTGAACTTAAAGAAGGCCTATAACCGGGTGCCTTGGGAATTCTTGTGGGTGATACTGCAGGAGTATGGAGTAGTGTGTTTCTACGAGATAGAAATAAGTCACATCTCAAGGGGGATTTGTTGGGTTTTTCTCAATAATAATAATAATGTCCTGAGATTACTTTTGTTGTGATTTGGGGCTATACAAATAAAACTGGAACTGAATTAAAACTGAATCCCTGGTCTTCTCTCCTTTCCCCTAGAGCTATTGCTTGGACACAACAGGCTTTGTTGTGTCTAATGTTAAGTCCTCTATTTAAGTCCCGTTTCCTCTTTTTACCATTAGCTGGCGTGGAAGTCTAGATAGTTGTAGTTAATTATCCTTTGTACAGTTGTTGTTAGTGGTTACACAAATACCCTAGCTCCAGTCTCTTTAGCTGAGGCTCAGCTGTTACTGTCTTTATTTACAGTTTAATACTGGCACATTAAATCAGAATGGCAAACAAACAAATACATCATATTTGTATTTGAAATCCTTCTCCTAACATACAAAGCCCTTAATGACAAGGCTCCATCGTATCTTAAAGACCCCGTAGAGCCTTATCATCCTAACAGAGCACTTCGCTCTCAGAGTGCAGGTTTACTTGTGGTTCCTAGAGTCCACAGAAGCAGAATGGGAGGCAGGAGCCTTTAGCTATCAAGCTCCTCTCCTATGGAACCAACTCCCAGTCTCAGTTCGGGAGGCGGACACCCTCTCTACCTTTAAGATTAGACTTAAGACGTTCCTTTTTGATAAAGCTTATAGTTAGGGCTGGATCAGGTGACCCTGAGCCTTCCCTTAGTTATGCTGCTATAGGCCTAGGCTGCTGGGGGGCCCCATGCTGCTCTGAGTTTCTTTCCCCTCCCCTCCTGCTCTGCTCTGCTCTCCTCTCCTCTCTCTCCCTATGCTTCTATATGCCTCCATTACACATTACTAACTTTGTGTCTCCTTTCTCCCGTAGTGTGTCCTCTCTCTCTCTCCCTGTACCTTTCTGCAGGTTGCCCTGGCCCTGGAGCTCTACGTCTCTGACGAGCAGTCACCGGCCACATCGACCTGATCAGTGTTTGATTGTTGTGTCTTGTTGCTTTTCTCCTTTTGTCTCTCCTCTATCCACTCACCCCAACCGGTCGAGGCAGAAGGCCACCCACCAAGAGCCGGGGTCTGTCGGAGGTTTCTTCCGTTAAAGGGAGTTTTTCCTCCCCACTGTCGCCAAGTGCTTGGTCAAGGGGGATTTGTTGGGTTTTCCCTATGTAATAATATTGATAACAGTAAGGTCTAGACCTTACTTTGTAAAGTGTCCTGAGATGACTTTTGTTGTGATTTGGCGCTATACAAATAAAATTTGATTTGATTTGATCATAGAACTGATTACCCAAAGTTAATCCACACCTTTCAGGCAATCATAATCCAGAATTTTTAGTGGCCATTCTATAAATTAGAGGTAATGGATATGATGAGATGCAATGTTTAAAGTAATTCTTCAGTTCCATGGAACAGCATAAATAAAAACCGTGTTAAATTGTGTTCATATACATGCTCTTTAAGTTCTGAACTAGTAGAAAGCTACATGCATACCCTGTGGGTCTACCTCCTTGGCAATCTTCAGAGCATCTGAGTTGGCCAAGTCAGTGTTGGCAGGGGTGACGGCCAAGATCAGACAACTTTCCTTGGTAATAAACTGCAGCAACATCTCTCTGATCTGGTGCTCGATGTCTGGTGGCTGGTCACCGACGGCAACTTTAGTCATTCCCGGTAGGTCGATCAGGGTGAGGTTCAACACTGAGTCACATGAACAAAAGTCGAATGAAAATATAAAGTTTGTCCTTTTCCTACAATATCTTAAACATATTAGTGATTCAGGTCATGTATTTTCCAAAATTTTTCTAGCAAAGCAGCTTGTTAGTTTTATTTTTTGGTATTTTTTAATGCAACACCTTATCCTCAATTTAACATGTTAATGGTGACTGGTGGAAGGGGAAGAGTTCATTATCGTACTGGAGTAGGCAGATTTTGAAGTTGAATTAGCATTACTTTATTTTAAAAAGAGATGTCCTGCGATGCTTTATTATTTAAAATTAAGGGTGTGACGATACGCTTAACTCACAAGACGAGAAGATACACAATACTGGGTTCATGAGAACAACATGATATTTTAACACTATTTTTAAGAAATCTTCAGTGACGAAATATATGAATGGAAAAATATCTTTTGACTGAAAGTGCAAAACAACTCAGGTGCATTGTGAAATGTTTTAACTAATCATCTTGTCATGAATGTCACTTCAGAACAGTTTAAGAGTATGAATTATATGTAAAACACAACAATATGCATTACAATAGCACTGTAAAAGGTTTTGCCACACACTCAAATGACTTGTTTCTCTCCTGCATGATTTCATGAGTCTCTTCAGACCTTACAACTGTGCATGAACTATGCATAAGCTTCTAACTTCTATGTGAAGTTGTGTGTGACCTAGGCTATTTTGACGCTCACCACACTGCACCAAATGGTGACATCTGCCGGCAAAGGCACTGCGTTGACCAATCATGCACAGGGGACGACCGAGATGCGGACGGCCACAAGAAGATGACTCTTTTGTTTGCCTTGTTAACATGAGCAATCACTGCTATTCACTGTGGAATCTGAGCCACAATTAACGCATATAATGACACATCATGCATTTTCGTTAGTACTGGATGTTAAACTGTTTTTTTATCTATCAGTGCAGACAGCGGTTGTAGAATTGGTGCTAAGATAGAGTAGGCTACGTTAGCAGCATGGCTAACCAAACACAATGGAAATTCATTTGCTGGAAAGGCGATTGAAGCCACTCATGCCAACTTCTTACAACGTGGCCATGTCATGCACACCTATAACACTCCGCCTGCAACCCTTCACCCTTTCACCAGCAGGTTGTGTTAATGTGAACATACGTCACTGTCGCGACACAGCTTTTGCCTTGATGAGAAATATTGTCATGTTTTGATATTGTGAGATCTCGTCACACCCTTACTTATTAAACTTACTAAAAGTAATAAACATGAAAAAGTCCAAATCTAACATGCATCTCCCCAAGGAAGATCAACAGATGAGACAGTTATTTAGTGAACACAACAGAACATCACAAAAGCTAGCTTTTTAATGTGTTACCAAATCTAGAACAGCCAAATACTCTAGGATATCTTCCAAGGCTTTCTGGAAGAGTACATTTTAAATAGCTGTAATACATGCAATAATGTGCACAAAATACACAATGTGCAGACAATGTTTTTTTTACTCTGTTTGGACAATAGATATAATATCATCTATTGTGATATAAGTAATATCATATGGCCATAACAGCATATACTGTGATACAATTTCTTGAAACCCATATGGGAAACAAATTATGGATAAAATAACCAAATGAGAAGTTCTGTTTTCATCAATACAGACATATTAAAAGAACATATATAGTATAAACAATGTGCAAATATCTCTCATGACTGATAAATGTAAACTGTCTGCAGACATATCCTGACAGATAACATGAAAATTTACCTTTTGCAAGTCAAAGAGCACAATGTATTTTTGTGTGTGTGTGTGTGTGTGTGTGTGTGTGTGTGTGTGTGTGTGTGTGTGTGTGTGTGTGTGTGTGTTTCACAATAAGGCTTGTGTCAATTACCGTGTGGCGAATAGACTCTCAGGTTAATTGGGATGGGAGAGATGCCTTTGTTGGAGCCTGTTATCCTGTCAGTCTCTGCCTCAATTTCTGCCCGCACTTCATCAAAATCCACAAACTTCTTCCCTTTGCAATGCAGGAATTCAGCATATTCTACACAAAAAGGTACAAGGTGATTTACATGAGGGGAGGGAATACGGAGAGAAAAGGACACAGAGGAAGAGACAGTAGGGAAGAGAGTGCAAAAAGACATTAATAAATTAAAACAATGACCTTAGCAAATAGAAAGTGTGCCTAGGTTGTGCAATTGTGACTGAGGCCATATGCAGGGCAGCAATGAAAGAAGACAGGGATGTGACTCCACACAGGGGAAGCACACTCACCTGCTTTATTGTTGACCAGTTGCAAAATCAAAGGTCTGCGGGTAACAATGCCTGATCCACGTGGAAGAAAGTCCCTGGGTGAGAGAGAAGAGGAAGAGAAACAAACACCAGAATTGTATAACAGAAAAGGGATTTAAAAAAAGGAAGGCATCAAAACAAAGTGCAAGGTTGAATAAAACAGGCAGTTCAAGACAAAGTATTAGAAAGAAAGAAAGAAAGGAAACAGGGAGAAAGGAAGAATCTTCGATTATTCGTTATACTCAATGTCCATTTCCTTTCAACGTGTCCTGTGGTAAATGGATGGTCATGGAGGAATTTCACGCCTCCAACTTGTCTCACAACAAATTAAATGTGACAAGGTCATCTTCTCTCATCATTAGAACTTCAGTGATCAATTCATGCACACTCACTTCTGCTTTTATAGGGAACATCCAAACCAAGACAAAATATAATATTCTACACTTCAGTTCACAAATCTGTCCTTATGCTGAACTGAACAATGTAATTATAATGGCACCTAAGGATAATTCCTAGTACCATTCCAGACAATGAATAACAGAACTCAAGAGACCGGATGAATCCCAGTTCCCTTATTTTATCATTTCTTGGTCTTCATTCAACCTGGAAGTCACTCCAGTTCACCATGATAAAGGACACCCCAAAGCTCTAACTTCTGCAGTGAGGAGTGAGCAACAAGGAGGATGCATCAAGGATACATGAGCGCATCCTTCAAGGAAGTGTCACAGATTGACGCACCCCTTTATCGGAAATCAGTTTGTGACTGAATGCTTCATATGAAGAATCAGAGGAAAGGACATCTTGTGTCAGTTAAAGGACGTTTCCTCATATCCTTACATGGACAAGACTGAGATGTCAGGAAAAGACAAGTAAAAGAAACATGAATGCCATTAGGGGAACTGAGATTAACCCTCTGACAACACCCATAGTGATGTTACTGGGATATAAATACATCTTTTGATTCACAGCTGTTAAGGCCTACAGTGACATGACACAAACTGATATAACACCACAAAGTCAATATCAATAACCCCACTACAAAACATGTCATTTCAGTCTGGGATATAAATACATCTTTTGATTCACAGCTGTTAAGGCCTACAGTGACATGACACAAACTGATATAACACCACAAAGTCAATATCAATAACCCCAAAACATGTCATTTCAGTCTTGATGAAAATATTTCCCATTTTAGGAGAAAGTTTGTGCATACTGATGAATTTGTTTGAAAAAGTGCAATATAAATTTGGTTTGACGGTGGATTTACCCTTCATTGTTGCAACCAGAGATGCACCAATCAATCGATGGAGATCAGAAAAGGCTGGTTTTCAGCATGATCAACCTTGACCGGTGGCCGGCCGATTACTCAGAGGTTTCTGATTCGGTGCCAGTCAGATTTAGAGGCACGACAGTCCACACCTCGCACGCAGTCACAAAGACCAAAAAGGTAGCGTATGCAGCACAGAGCATCTCCAGTGCAACTCGAGTGAGACTCACACTCATGGCTATACCGTGCTCACTTGCGCCTGGTGCACAAAAACAGAGTAGCCTACACAAACACCCTGAAGAAGGGAAAACCACGTCAGAATCTCTGACAAATAGTACACAATGAGGGAATTACCGGCTACACAAAATGCGTGTATAAATACAATGTATCTAACCCATGGTAAAACACAGAAAATACAACTGTGCTTCATTCCACCTGCTACAGCTAATCCAAAAATGGGCAAAGAGGAGGCGTGTGAGTGGAGCTCTCTAGACAGCTAGCAGCCAGCCACCTGTGACAGGATCCTTCCACCTGTCATTCAAGGTGGCCATGCCCTTAAATTATGCATAACAGGTGAGTTATATAAAAACTGACCCCCCAGACAGTTGTTATGGAAGGGGAAATTAACTATAGACAGCAAAACCATTTATGTATATATGTACACATATTTATTAAAAGATAGTTGTTTTGTGTTATACTCAGTTTTTATTCCATTTTATTTGCTGTACATTGGGGGCCACAGTACTAGAGTTCAATTCCTGTATTTTAACATCCATTCATTCATTCATTATGAATACTGCGTATTCCTGACAAGGGATGGGGCTGGAGCCAATCCCAGCTGACACTGGGTGAGAGGCGAGGTATACCCTGGACAGGTCACTGCTCTGTCACAGGGCCGACATGTAGATAAACAACCATACACACCTTCCTCACTCCCAGGGGCAATTTCAAGCACCAATCAAGCTAAGCTGCATGTCTTTAGACTGTGAGAAGAAGCAGGAGTACCTGGAGAGTACCCACGCAGGCAGAGGGAGAGCATGCTCCGCACAGAAAGGCCCAGAGTTGGCCCAGGTTCGAACCCAGAATCTTATTGCTGTGAGGCGCTAGCGCTAACCACTGCGCCGCTCTGCCGCCCTTTATTTTAACAGACTTGGCAATAAAAATTATCATTGATTGATGGATTGATTCTTTTCTCAGTCTCTGAGGTTACTGCACATAACGCTCGTGATAATGTCAACCACAAAAGTAGAGAATCTACCCTGTCAGCTGACGCTGTCTTGCTATGTGTCCATTCTCCAATATAAACTTTAATCATGCTTCTTAAATGCACAAGTTAATTCATTCCCCAAAGCATAAAACGAGAATAAAAGGAACATAAAAATACTATCAGTGCTACAGTAAATAATTCAGACATGAGCCTATAGGGAACAACGAGAACTTTCTAACAGTTGGCTTGTTTGTTGCTCTAAAAGTGACATGGTACCTGAAGACGTTTTAACCACAAGGCCACAGCTGCTTAGTTAGCCTTCAAGCTCCTCCACCCAGTCTTCTGCAGTCTCTGCAAATATACTACATCTGGTGCAAATCACCAGCACCAGTCCTGGTGGAATCCTAGCAGAAATGAGCAAGTCACTAACCCACATTTTTATTTTCCTCCCTACTGCCAGACCTACAGGCCTGAGGGGACTATGGTGGCACTCAGCCGTCCTGCTGACTTCAGACTGGAAGCAATGTGTCAGCCACAGGACAAGAGTAGTGCATGCTGCCTGCTACTGCTAGGTTGTGGCACCTGTGATGAAACAGTGGGGAGCATTCGGGATGTTCCTAATACATCAGCAAAAATTCCACAGGTCTGTTCTGCAGATAATGTGGAAGCCTGCATGCATTTTCCCACATGACAGAGAGTGTAGAAAGCCCTGGATGAGTAATGAGAGCGAGTGAGGGAGTTGGAGATAATGAACAAAGCCACTATAGGCTGAGGGAAAGGATAGACTAACAGACATGGAGAACAGCTGCAAGGTCAGCTCAGAGGTCAAAGCAAGGATGACCCCTTTCAGAAACTACTGTAATGATTGCATCTTTCAGGCTGCAGGCAACTCTCACTGTATTTTCAGCAGTCAAATGCCAACTCACTGGCTTGAATACTGGTCACAGCAATAAAATAGAGCACCAACAAAGTTCATGAGAAAACACACCAAAAGAAACGGTTTCTTAAAAAATGATCTTATGAGATGAAAAAGCACAAGGGCAGAATTAAATCAGTCAGTCTTCATAAGGATAAGCAACCATGGCATCTTGAAAAGAAGCAAGAGGCCAGGAATCCATTATTGATGCGCTTTAAATGATAGACGAGGCTCGGCAGATTGCATATCATTTCATGTATTATGGATGGCCAAGCGAAGAGCATCAGTCTGTCAGCCTTCCTTCATCTAACACAAGAGAAAACAAAAGCAAGAGAGGGCAGGGCAGGAAGAAAATGAGAGTGCTAACTCCCCTCCCCCTGCCTACTTGTCCCAACAGCCTCTGCCTATTACAAACAGGCAGAGCAACTTTGATGAGCCATTGCCCCCAGATGATCCTGCTTTTCCTTGAATCTACAGTGGATTTGTTTTCCAAAGTGGAAACCAAAGCGAGAAACTCTGACGTCACAATACGCTCTCAAAAAAGGGTGTACACAAAAATGTGTTTGTGGTTTTGTGAACTATATCCCATGGGTCTACAGTGTAGCAACAAACATATGATTATGGCTACCCGCATTCCCACACCACAGTCTGTCACTGCAAGCACTGAGAGGCATCACTAGGCAGCAAAGCCTCTTCAAGCACTTCTAAAATCTCACTGCTTAGCAAAAAATCCCTTTGCTCTTTGCCACTCAGTTGTCGGTACTACCTCTTCACAGGGGTGTACACTGTGCTACACACAAGCATCTAGACCAGGGGACATTTCTGTTCAAATTCCATTATATACTCCTTGTACCATCCAGGAGTAAGGTGTAAAGATTAAAGAATTAGAGCAAGGTTATCGCATTTAATTCTTTAAAACCATTTTTCTAAAGATCCAGTACAGCTCGAAACAACTGGTTTCTGTGTAGTCTACTTGCCACAGATCTGATAACAACCTCCACCCAGGCCAGCCTGCAGTGCTAGATATGATGACTTTACTCCCCACTGGCACGAACATCATAAGATAGCATCATCCAACCTTTAATGTCTTGTTTTACATTCTTTTGACAATTATATTGTCCATTTCAGGTCTCAGCGATATTTAACAAGTTAATTAAGATTAGATCTAACAAGCCCTAAGGTGAACACACGCAGTAGCAGCTAGTGGAGACAGGTAAATGCTGGCTTTTCCTGAATGATATCTATCCTGAACATTTATTCACACTGGACATTTTGCCTTGTCACAGAAGTAGCACAGTTACATTTGGTAACGCCGTCAATGGTCCCGGTCTATTTTCAGCAAGTGAAGCCTTGGACAATACCATGGCCATGGCACTGACACACCTGAATAGAATGGAGACATTAATATTGTTATTACTTAAACCAGCATCTGTCATGTGAAAAGTCCATTTGGTCTCAAATTCTTAAGCTAAATGCTTTTTTATTGTAATGTACAGCAGATTTGGAGTGTATGTATTGTACTTAGTGTATGTTTAATGTCTTAGTGGGTTGTCTTGATGCAAACCTAAACAAGGCAACAACATATACACACAAATATGAGACTGTTAAGCCCGAGTGATTGGATTAGCTTCTGTCCAGCAAAGCATGAAACCAAGCCAGCCAA